TCTTAAGAACCCAAACTCGTTCTATCTCTCAGAGACGAATATGATGACGTTCGGGTTTTAATCACCCACAGGAGAAAGCAAATGCGATCGACGAGCATGTCGCTTCATCGTATTTGCTTGGCTCAACTTTCCAAAGTCCGCTCGAAGATAAGGTTGCACAATCCATTCAAAATCTATATGCCTCCCCTTGTGTCGTGCCTCCGGCGGATGATTACAGAACAACAGATAGCAAAATTTATACCAATCCGCAATTCCAGTAAGGATCCAACATTGTCTTTAAGCTACAGACCAATCAGCCTCTTTTCAGCACTGAGCAAATTGTTTGAGAAACTCATTCTCAATCGTTTGCTCGAGTTTGTCGACGAAAACTACATTCTCCTTCCGGAACAGTTTGGGTCCAGTAGTAACAAAGCTGTATCCAAGTCCATAGCCATGGCCTTGCTAGACGTCGAAAAGGCGTTTGACAATGTCTGGCCTGACGAACTTGTGTACAAGCTTTCTAACTTCCATTCCCATTACATCTGAGTAAAATCACCCGTAACTACTTCCAGCAAAGGTCGTTCAAGGTATCGTTGAATGGTTGTCTTTCAAACACGTTTTCCATCCCTGCAGGTGTTCCGCAAGGAAGTCTGTTGGGCTCTTAGCTTTACATCTACATTTCCGACATTCCTCCCCTCGGAGACGACTGTTAATTTTTTTTTCTTTATTTAGGTTGGTTCATCTCCGACTGCTGTTAGCGTTGTTATGATATACTTCGTAGATTGGATACCAGCGACACTCACGTCTCTTCTGAAATTCTCAGTTAGACTACTTTCAGGAATAATGCTGAGGAGTAAACATTGGTTCCAATCTAAACAAGAGTAACAGAAGCATGACTGTCGCTATTCCCGGCCACGCCCATCTTTACCATAACTAGGGATAGGGAAGGAAATGTTGATGTAGTACTTACTTAACGAGAGGCCACCGACTTAGCGACACCCTCATAAGTGCTACGGAGTTGGAGGGTTGGGTAGGGTATTCGGTTAGGATTCACCTCAAGTTGGCGATGCAACCAAAAGTATGTATTGTTTATTTGTTGTTTATTTAATCTCTCGATAGCCGGCTATCGAAATAACATATTAATTTTGTTTAGTGATAATGAATTTTAAGAGTCATGACGGAGAGCTTGGGATTAAACCCATGATTTTCTGCTCAGTAAGCAAAAACGATCCCTCCAGGGTCATCGAGCATCTCAGAACCATAACGCTTCGCGACAATACTGGACTACGTTTTCGCTTGATATGCAAATAGTTTCCGAGGTTAATGTTCAATATCAAATATACAAATGGTGGACGATTTATTGTGCTGTGGAAGAGCTTGGGGTTCAATCCATGATTTTCTGCTCAGTAAGCAAAATCGATCCCTCGAGGGTCATCGAGCATCTTATAATCCACAGCGCTTCGCGTCAAAGTACGAATATATGCATGAACTATCTATTATTGAATAACTAATATTTACGATAATTAAATGAAATAAATAAAATATAAACTACAAACAAAACGTGACTGCTAAAATCACAAAAAGATATTCTCACAAATATATTTCACGCCACCAGGAATCTCAAAACCATTAGACGTTATAATGATACTCTGCACATGTTAGACACAAGAAGAGGCCAAAAAGCAAGCGTCCGACACACAAAACCCGTAAAATCCACTTGCAGTCACAATCAACGATTCTACGAATCGTAAGCGCTCACGAATCATAAAACCGCTGACTGCCGCAGATCCCGCCACTCAAGGGTGCACAAACTGGCTGTCTGCAAACAAATTATAGCACCTGCGATCCTCTACGCAGCTCCGGTGTGGGAATCATGTGCATAGAATCATAGGAATAAAGTCCAGTCCTTCGACACAAGAATTTCAGACCTCCACCAAGAGGCGAACGTACAAAAATTAAATTTTAAAATTACTGACATTAAAACTAGGTTTGTGCAGAAATCCAACACATCTGAACATGCTTTGATAAGCAATTTGTATATAATAGGTTAGGTGTATATAGTTATTGCAGGTTAGTTGTCGTTGTAAATAGTAGTTATAAGTAATCTCCTATATCAAATTTTAAACAAACCAATCCCACCAAGGTGGGAATTGTCTAAACAGCCCTGATAGGACTAGGAACTGTAAATATGAATTAAAAATTTAAAATTGACTAAAGTTGAAAAGACACGTCTGTGTCACTCGGTAATTCATTCAACCACACAAATACAAGAAATAAAGATCATTTAAAGTAAATAAAAAGTTTTTTTTCTATCATAGTAATTATATAACGACTATACTTTCTATGGATTTCCGGGTGTAAACTGATCTTATAATATATGTAAACCGTTTTATAAAATAAAATATAATGAACCCTGGATATAAGCCCTTCTTGTGTCTCTGCCTCATTTGATATAATTTCGATTACTAATCGGGAAAATGCATGGCACTGCCATGAATATGGAATGTTACTTCAGTAGTAGTATGATTTTCGGATTAGTTTAAAATTCAGGGTTAGGCTTGATGCATATATTGTGTCACGCTCTAGGGGGGCGGTTTTAAGATTTGACAAGCAATGCATAGGTATAGGAAAAACGTCACGATATGGGGGGGGGGGGGTAAATTTCTTCTCGATTTAGCGTGACATAATTAATGCATGGGCCCTTACCGCGTTTGAGTCATGTGTAGACGTAGCTACTATTAATAATATCCCATAAAATTTAAAGTGATTTATCAGCATCTACTCTCATCCTTTCAAATTTTGATAAGATACTTGATTATTTACATTGCATGCATACAATGAAAGAGAAAAGCATGTGATCCTAAGATAATACTCATTGCAGGGTTGCCACAAATCTTTGTTCACTGATGACACAGACATTTCCACTAAAGAAAGAAGTCTTCATGTTATTTGCAGCAGACTACAGAAAAGTTTAGATATTATCTCTTCTTAAAGCTATAGTAGTAGTCACATAATCACTATGAGCGGAAACACAATTTCTTGGCCAAGTCAAGTGAAATATCTTGGATTCGTTTACAGCTTATAAAAACAGTTGCAACTCGAGGGCAGAACCGCTATTACCGACATTTTGTGGACACTGCAAAAAGATCACTGTAAAACACCCAAAAGGGTGAGAAGGTCAAGTTAAAAAAACAGCAAATTGACTCTGCCTGATAAATAAGCTAATTAATAGGGTAGATTAGATAACTAGGTTTTCTTTCAATCCCACATTTCATTCAATCTATAACTGCCTATATAATCGCAGATCAGTCCTATATGGATTTTCGTTAACCATGCTTTACACTATCAATTAGCATCTACTTTTATATTATGTGATAAAACCACCGACAAACCGACATGAATGACCATAGCAAAAACAATAACATGCAAAAGTTATGAATTGGTTCGTGTCTGATCTATTCTGGACAAATTATTTTTTATTTAGATCATGGTTTTGAAAGTTTGGATCAATGCACATTTTAATCGGCCGTTTACGATTTTCGGGCATAAGTTAGAATTAAGTGCCATGTCGGTTTGTCGGTGATAAAACTATGGACTTTTATCATGAAAAATGTGAAAACAACATCAAGTCAGTTTGTCTCATCAAACAAAGTAATCGCATATCAGTCCCATCCTGAAATTCAATAGTCCATAGTTAAATTTAAAGGTTTGCTTTTCGAATTGTCATGTTTTTCGCTGATATAACAAAACATGGAAGCTTCATTGCAACAGATTATGAATTAGTTTACTACAGACATACAATTAGTTTACTATGATTTATCAAATATTTACTAGGGAATTGCATTTCGTAACTTCGACTGCCATTTTCTCAATGCCTAATTTTTCCATATGGGACTGATATGCAATATACACCTAAAAAATCGCTACCAACCACACCCCTCTCCCTCAGCCAATTTGTCGCTATGCTGGTATCATAATGAGGATGAATTTGAGGTAAAATGCACTTACATCATATTTGGTCGAACTGTGCTGCGAGCCTAGCGAGAAATTCGTTTATGCTGCCGTGGCCAAAGGAAATTTGATGAAGAGAATCGATCAACGAGGATAGGCCCTTTCCAAATGTTAAGCGAGAGTTCATATATATGACATTTGGTGAATGTCTTTCGGGTTTGTGTGACAATCGGACGAAACAAAAATAAGCTAACATAAAAATTTCAAAATTATTTTAAAACCCTTCTGGCGACCACATTACAGGATCTGTTAATGTCACGAAACATTGCAGATTCGGCATTCTTTTCATGCAAATCTGTAATAGAATCTTACATTTCCCGGTTGGGTGTAAGTAAACATGAATTTGTGTCTTAAAAATTTGATAAAATGATTAGGTTTAATGATATTTTATGTAAAAATGGTTTGCAACTATGAAATTATCAAATCGATACATAAACGAAATTTGATATGGTATCATTATTTTTTTTTTATTTGTTTGTAATAGGTATATCGCTAAACCGATCACTGAAAGACGGATCACATTCAAAAACTCCACGGTCCAAAACTATTGCTTAACCACTTTATCCTAATTCAAACCATTCCATTCACCCATGCAAGCAGGGGAAGCCTCAAGTCATGCCACGATTTCGATGACCAAAAGCAAAACGTGAGCTTTATACTTTCTCTCGGACGTGTGCAGTTTTTTTCCACCGGCATTTGGGCTCAGTTGGATCCAGCGTGAACCGGCCCGCACCAGGCTAACAACAGGTTGATCAGGAGATGGTAGTTTGGTTGTTTTTACTTCGAGCTGTTTTGCCTTGCGCGGTGTTCAAAGTCAAGTTCATAGCTAAACTGTTGTTGTTGGTGGTGGTGGCGGTGCTGCTAGGCGCACATGGTACCCCGTGTTTAAATCACAGGATTTGCTTCGACAACCCTGGTTGGGATGAGATGGCAATAAATAATGCACTGGCGGACTATTGTTATACTGAAAAGCACACACAACTGTTTAGAGCCAATAAAGAGACACCTACCTACTTCTCTCTCCGACAGACCAGATAAATCATCCGTATTTGTAGAGTGGCATTTTTCGGTGGTGAGCAATACCAGGAAAATAACAATACTCGGCCAGATCGAGTTCCGCAAGCTCATGTTCCTCTTTCCACCGGACCTGCACCTGTGTGTGGCCTTTTCGTTCCTCGAGGCTGCAGTCGTTCGGATAAATCGTGAGGTTTGTCGCTTGTTGCTGCACGATGACGTTCAAGTCGCCGTCGGCCTGCCGACTGGTTGTCGAACCCTCTACCAGCCACACTGATTTCACAGACAGACTTTCGCTGCTGCTGCTGCTGCTACTACTGTAGTGCTGTTTGATTCTGGATGTTCACATATTTACAAGCATTTCTCCATTTCTTCAACGGCGTATTTCGACACTGCACAAACCGATAGTCTTTTTGGATGCACTTTTCCTTCTCTTTCGTACCCTCATTGATTCATCCTGCAATTGAATTCGAAAAAATATGGTCAACGTGCTTCGATGTGTGCAACAAAGTAGAAAAAAACCTCAAAATTTAAAATAATAAATTACAGCTATCCCTCGAAGAACGTGTTACCCACTGGGATCTCCCAACACTTTTCTCGGCGGGTTTATAACTAATCTTATGTTTTACTCATTAATGGGTAACAGTTACTCATTCGTGGGTAAATTTAATGGGTGTAACGGCTTGTCCCTATGGGTGAAATGGGTGAAATTGTACCCATTAATGGGTACTTTCAACTTACAGTGTAGAGTCATCTGTGTGACAGTAGAAGAAATCGACAGTGAGCGTTCATAAGGGCCTAATTGCAATGATCCCACTTGGATTGCCATTTATCCATGCGTTTGCTGTTGCTTTTGATAGCCAATATAACCTGTTACAGTACTGTATTGGACACATTTCATAAAATTGCTTCCTTTAGCTGTAGAAATTTAATGAGAAAATTGATGAGGAAAATCGATCATCGTTAGGCCCTTATGTATGCTCACTGTCGAAATATGATTGCGAGTGTAATTTTTCCTGTGCATTTTACGTAGCGGATATCTCGCAGCTATCTTCACGTGCGCGTTATGGTGACCCCATACTCTAATTTATTAAAAGACGCGCAATATTATTGGCCACGCATATAATTCGATGCCAACATTTCATTAGGTCGAAACTGATCTTGTAAACAATGATTTCAACCACCGATTTCTTGCAAACAATTGCTCATAATTTTCGTTGCAAGTAGGCCCTTTCGCAAGCCTTTTCTGAAGTTTTTTTTTAAATTACTCCTTAATGCATGTGACCACTCTTTTCCCGATTGCCCAAAATATTTTTCCCGATTTCGTATAAATAACTCAATATGGTTAAAAAAAGTAAGAGGTTGTATCCAAGACACGACCGTAGATTTGAAGAAGGATTACGTGCTCGGTATCAATATTCAGTGACTGTGTTAGGGAAACCAACTTTTTCTATCACGGAACACCTCGTTTGCTGATGACAAAATTACGCATTTTCGTGTACAAAACTCACGGAATTTTTGGACAAATTTATCATTAATACAGTGCATGAACTGACATTACGCTGCTTTAACTGCATTTCTTTATGTTTGTGGCCATAAAAATTACATGAGATTTTCGACATGATTGAAGTGCATCCTCTTGGATGTAATATTAAAATCTATTTTTTGCAGTGTATACATTCGAGATTTTTTTGCTTTTTTCCAGCGTCCTGGAGAAAACCTTACATTAATTCGAACTGTTTCTGGTTAATTGACAAGGTGATGTGGTATTCGGTCATTGCGAGAATTTTTATTTACCATTTCAATACTTGACGCATTTGACCACAAAAAATTGGTTCCTGGGTACATTATCGAAGAGCTTTGGGGGTGATGTGGCTGGCAGCAAGGCGAGCGAAAGTTCAATGAAAATTAACTCTTAAACAACAATAATTTATGATGTTCCTGAAAAGAACAGTTTTATTGTGATGGTTGAGTAATGCTGATCTATTAGGGTGTTTAACACGGATGAGGTTAGCGAGCTGTATGTTGTTTGGAACGAGGGTGACGCGCTTGGCATATACATATAGCCCACAGCAACTCACGACAGCTACTGAATCCGATCAGTAGCAATGCGGATTCTTCCTCCTTCTTCGGTGAATGGACACTCATGCGGGCAGCCTTTCGTTGTGTACTGGAGAACAATGTTCAACGCCACGCACCGAAAGCACTCCTGCTGCTGCTGCTGATGATGATGACCGACCGGACACCACCACACACGGTGATTGCATAAGCACCGTTCGGCGAGACCGGATGGAATTCGATTTTGAAATCTGTGTTAAGGAAAGCGCTTTTTGGCAGGCAATCGGTAAAAATTTTGATCACCATTGCAACAGTTGGACATTTGTGTTATTTTCAATAGTGACCTATTGGAAAATTACAAAGTGTTCATTTTACCAGATTTGTAGAAAAGTTTCCAATAAACTGGCTTGTTTAGAATTAAAATCCGTCCGCTATTGACAGAGTTATAAGTGGTCATAACCTGAACACTTAGAAATACCTAATCTTACACGTGACGGAATCCATCTTTGGATGAGATGTAAACAAACATGTGCTCCGAGACTGAAAAGTTTAAAAGTACGTTTGATTGAGCTGGAGCCTTGAGCCTGGATAAAACCTATGATGAGTGCCCTAAACACGACGTGAAGATTGTCATCGGAGATACAAACGCGCAGGTCGGAAGAGAGGAATTCTTTCGCCCAATCATTGGAACAGAGAGCCTTCACTCTGCAACGAATGATAATGGCCTGAAGCTGATAAACTTCGCTGCTGCTCGTGATTTGGCCATCAGTAGCACCCACTTTGCACGCAAGGATATCCGAAAGCACACCTGGAGACACCCTAATGGCGAAACTTGCTCCCAGATCGACCACGTGTTGGTGAATGGTCGGCATTTCTCGGATGTCGTAGATGTCAGGACCTTCAGGGGTCCTAATATCGGCTCGGATCACTACCTCGAATTCGAAGAAAATTCGAGCGCATCTATCGACCATTACGAGTTCGAGAAACCGGAGATCGATGCGTTTCAACATCCAGCGTTTGACAGTAGATGGTGTTGCTGCAGAGTACCACCAGAAGCTGAATGAGCGGATAGCGGAAATCAACGTGAACGAGAATCTCAACAATCTGTGGGAAGCTGTCCATGGAGCGGTGAGCACAACAGCACGAGAGGTGATAGGTACAGCTCATAGGCGCCCCCGGAACGGGTGGTTTGACGAGGAGTGCCAGCGAGTGACAGAGGAGAAGAACGTCGCCAGAAGCCGGATGTTGGTGTCTGGTACGCGTCAGAACAGAGAGCGGTGCAGGGTAGCAAGGTCAGCCGAGAAACGAACCCATCGTAGGAAAAAAGGCAGTACGAGGAACGCGTTATTGCTGAAGCGCAAGAAAGTATGGAGCAGAATGATATGCGAAGGTTTTACGCAACTGTCAATGGCGTGAGGAGTAAGACAGCGCCGTCTCCCGCCATGTGCTATGACCGTGAAGGTAATCTGCTGACAGATAAAATGATGGTGGCTGCCAGGTGTAAGGAGTACTTCGAGACGTTGCTGAACGGAGAGAACGAGAGAGCATTTACAAACAGAACACACATCGACGACGATGGTCAAGCTGTGGAACCACCAACGCTAGAAGAGGTGAAAAAGGCAATACGAGAGCTGAAAAACAGTAAGGCTGCGGGGAAGGACGAGCTCCCAGCCGAACTTCTCAAACACGGAAGTGAGCAGCTGCACCAGATGATCCACCGTATACTGCTCAAGATATGGGAGGAGGAAGAATTGCCCGCTAGTTGGTTGGATGGTCTCGTTTGTCCCCTCTACAAAAAGGGACACAGACTGGAGTGCGCCAATTACAGAGGAATCACGCTTCTGAATTCGGCGTACAAAATATTATCACGTGTTCTGTTCAACAGATTGAGACCGCTTGAGGAATCCTTCGTCGGCGAATACCAGGCTGGTTTTCGTGAGGGCCGATCAACGACGGATCAAATGTTTACCCTGCGTCAAACCCTTGAGAAGTTCCGGGAATACAACTTGCAGACTCATCATCTGTTCATAGATTTCAAGGCAGCGTACGATTCAGTAGAAACGAGCTATGGCAGATAATGCATGAAAACGGTTTTCCGACGAAACTAATTAGGCTGATTCGTGCAACGCTGGATGGTTCGAAATGGTTGCAGACGAGATTTCGGCCTCGTTCGTGACCTTAGATGGGTTGAAGCAGGGAGATGCTCTTTCGAACTTGCTATTCAACATCGCCCTCGAAGGAGCGATTAGGAGAGCTGGCGTGCAGAGAAACGGTACCATCATCACAAAGTCGCACATGCGCCTTGGTTTTGCGGACGACATCGACATCATCGGAATCGACCGAAGAGCAGTGGAAGAGGCGTTCACGCCTTTTAAGAGGGAGACAGCGAGGATTGGTCTCACGATAAATTCTACCAAAACGAAGTACATGGTCGCCGGTAGAAAGCGTGGGAGCAATAGTGGTGTTGGTAGTGAAGTGGTGCTAGATGGCGAAAAATTTGAAGTTGTGGACGAATTTGTTTATCTTGGTACTTTAGTGACGTGCGATAATGATGTTACCCGCGAGGTGAAAAGGCGTATTGCAGCCGCGAACAGGACTCTCTACGGGTTGCGTAGTCAGCTGAAGTCCCACAGCTTGCGTACGAAAACGAAATTCGCGCTGTACAAGACGTTGATTCTGTCGATAGCCCTTTATGGCCACGAATCGTGGGCATTGAAAGAGGTCGATCGGAGAGCTTTCGGTGTCTTTGAGCGTAAAGTACTGCGAACAATATTCGGCGGTAAACTGGAAAATGTCATCTGGCGGCGTCGCATGAATCACGAGTTGTACCAAGTATATAACGGCATGGATATTGTGAAGCTTATAAAACACGGCAGGCTACAGTGGGCTGGGCATGTGGCACGAATTCCGGAAGAGCGTCAAGCGAAGTCAATATTCAGCAGGGAACCCGGAAGAGGACGTCGGCTTCGGAGTAGGCCACGCACGCGTTGGCTTTGTGCAGTTGAGGAGGACATTAGGTCCTTGAACGTCCAAGGCGACTGGAAGCGATTGGCTCAGCACCGAGACCAATGGAGACGGTTACTTCGTTCGGCGCAGATTTGAATTCAACGAGTCGTCGCCCATCAGGTACTCAGGTAGGTAGTGTATTATCTCACTTTAGTTGGGAAACTAGCTTCAGGATTTATTACAATCTCCTTTGATGCAAAGAACAAATTCTTCAAGTTATCATAGTCGAACTACATTAGAAGCATCCCGACCAACCATTTCGTTAACGGCGCCGGTGGTGTAGTGGTAAGCGTGATTACCTCTCACCCCAGCAGGCCTGGGTTCAATCCCAGTCGGTGCCGCCGGGATGTTCTGAGGCATAACATCTCTGATCACGCCTTCCTTCGGATGGGA